CAGCCCTGAGGCTGAGCCATGAGGCAGGCGTTTCTGCCAACTGAGCAGCTCTGGGCTGCCGGGGCGGGGGCGGGAGGGCCAAGTCTGCCTATCCTCTTCTTGTACTGGGGAGAAATGGAGGCACCAACAGGAAAGGGGCATGTTCAGAGTGTCCCATCAGCTGTACTGCCCTTAGCAATCACTCTGCAATTACCTGGATGCCTGGCCAGTGGTGACGCTAGAAGCAGGAAACGTGCAGGCACCAGGTGAAGTCTGCTCCCAGGAGGCCTGGGGCCAGCAGAGGCACTATGGCTTAGAAAAGCATTTGGAAGATAACTTAGAAAAATGCTTTACAGAGGAGAAGAGAGAAAAGCAATGAGAAAAGAGCCTGGATCTCTCCTAGGGCTCCTCCTGTCATGACAGATACCACTGCAGCAGGGACATCTCTGCAAAGGGAGAGCAGCCAAGCCCGTGCCATGTCTGGGGAGTTGTCTGCTATGTGTCCGTCCCTGAGTAAAGAGGAGGGGCCCAACCTGGATCAGAAACAAACCATCCGTGTCACACTTGGTGACGAGTCTAGTGTTCCAGAAGATCTCTGGCGAGATGGCTTCTTCTTTGCCCTCATCAATGTAGTGGGCCACGTACTCCCTTCCCCTCCTCCAAGTTTTCACTCGTCACTTCTGGGAGACAGACACCACACAGAAGCCACACCATGGACTAAGTACACTTCATTCAAGTGAGGACAATTGAAAAAGGTGATGATGGGATGAAACACTGTTGTCTTCCCTCACTACTATAAGAATGCAAAAGTAAAACCCAGGCAGTTATAGAAAAGAACCCTCAAAGCAGAACAAATGTGTCTATTTTCAGAATTAAAGACCTTAATTCCATGACAGTTCTTGGTGACAGTGATGGGGCAGGACAAACTGCTACATTTTCAGTCCTTCAGAGAAAAAAAAAATTCTGTGCAGCGCTTTGGCCAATAAAAGGTCATTTACACATAAACATATTTTTTGGGGGGTAAAATCCCAACATTTCTTAAACAAGCTGCTTGGAATGATGTGTTTCCCCTTTCCTACAACCACACATTTTTATGGACAGTCCCCCACTCACCGTGTTACAGACTGTAACTGAACATTTTCCTGCCAGGCAGGTGGCCCCCACTTCTGTCTCTCTGCTCTGTTCTTGTCTCTGTCCCCGACTCTGACTTTCTTTCTTAACAGAATATCCCGCCTCAGAGAGGACACAGCAACCTACCTATGCTGTTGTGACATATGTGGATACTCCTTGAAGGTACAATGGCTTTGACAGTTTGTTTGTAAGTTAGTAGAATAACCCATAGGTTGCAAGAAGGGACCCAGGAAAAATCAAACTTGCTAAAGAGAAACATTATAAAAGAGAAATGACTCCCCACAAAGATCACACAAATGGCCTCCTGGGAAACCATGGTCCACAAGGGGTGAGTCAGTCTGGTGCTGCCCCCTGTGGGTTACAGCCAGCGGGCACAGTCACTTTTGTGGGAGTGAACCACACGGAACCTGACCCTGGGAACATCTGTTCTTACGGCTTGGACACAAATGGGAAAATGCACATAGGGTGGAGGTTGCATTTGAAAGATAAATGGGAATATTTAAAGAGGCTATCACCACAGAGGGGAAAACTCTAACACTGTACTCCCAACTTCTCCAACTTTCTCTAATTAATCTTATTGTCCTTCTACAATTTAAAAATGATAAGATGAAGAAAAACTGGTGTGCCCTAGGAGAAAGGCATTGGGGTCTGTGTTCTGGCCACCCTGTGTCCGCTCAATCGCTGTTAGATGGAAAGGTATAACTGTCTCATGTGGTAAAGGAAACAAGTTACAGATACCTCAGGGAAACCAGATGCTTGGGTTAGAGGAGGGTGAGGCAAAAATATCCTTTTATTTCAACCTGTCCTGATGAAAATCTTTCTCAAATGCAGCGCTGCTAAATATCCAATGGTGGACTTAGAGGACCGTGAAGGTCATCCCAGTGAGTGGGCATTGCTGGCCTGGCCCAGGTGGTGACCTTGCCTAACCCATATGAGCTCCCCAAAGTAACCTGCCCAAAGTTCTGGGAATAGAGAGTGGTGCCAAGCTGGATTCTCCATAGGAACACATCTTTACTGATGCTTACTGATGGGCCACTCAGCATCTAGGCTGTCCTGACCAGCCTTGAGCGGCCCCTGCTGAGACACTTCCTGGCTGCTTGGGGAGGACCCACTCAGCCAAAGGGGTCCCCTGCCTCTGCACACTCCCTGGAGGCCTGTTGCCTCCATTTTTAAAAATATCCTCACCTGAGGATATTTTTTATTGATTTTCAGAGAAAGAGAGGAATGGAGAGAGAGAGAGGAACATCCATCGGTTGCCTCCCATATGCACGCCAACAGGGTACGGAACCCACAACCTAGGTATGTGCCCTGACCAGGAATCGAACCTGCAACCTTTTGATGTACAGAACAATGCTCCAACCAACTGAGCCACCCAGCCAGGGCTCATTTCCTCTATTTTTGAGTCACTCAACTTCCTGTTTGCTGTCTTCCCTCCTCTCCTTCACTCCTGGTTCTGTTCCTTTCCATTATTCCTTTGCTGTTATTGCTCTCCATAGAGCTGTTCACTGTAAAATAAATTTGGGTATAGTGTCTTACATTCCCTGCAGGAAAAGGGTTATGTAGGAAAATAACAAAGCCTGAAAATAAACGGTTGTACACTATTCATCTCCTGGAGGAAAGGTATCTTTACACTGCTACCCAGAATTGAAAAATATAAACAATGAGAACTATTTAGAGTACTGGTAGGTGTTTATTTTTGGGGTGTCAACATAAGTGAGTGATGTGTATCTTTAAACCTTCATAAACCTCACTATTCTTACAATATATTTCTGACTATGTCAATTTAGCTTTAAAACACGTATTGAACAAGCACATTGATTTTATTTTGGCATTTTTGTTTTTATAGCTCAAGAGAAATAAACATGATGCCACAAAGTAAATGAGAAAATATTTTTATATTCTGGAGGTTGAATGGTGCTATTCTAATAACACCGTGGTCAGCAGCATAGGTATTCTCTGATAGAATCACGGAGTCTATTTACTGTCTGTTCCTGGCCCAATTCCTTCTGCTCTACAGGCCAAGTTCCTCAATGGTGGTCAGCCCAGCTGTGGTGTTCCCAGGGGTTCTGAGAAATCTATCAGGGTGCCTATAGGGGCTGTGCCGTCAGCCCTACATCCCCTGAGATCAGCATGGCCCTCACTCCTGTGCTCTCAGGTAACTGGCCTTGATTTCCAAGGGCCAGTTACCTCCTGAGGCTTTGTTTCCTTAGTATCTGCTCTGCCCTCATGGTTGCTGAACTTCCTTTTCTAGTCTCAATTTATACATTAAGATGTTTTTGAAATAAGGAATGCATGCACAAAGCAGGAAATGCAGGCGATTCACCAGTGAGTCTTGTAAGTTTCCTTTCTGCCCCTTACCTCCTGAGGGGAACTGTGATACCCATATTCCAAAGATGCCCCAAAGAGTGTGTGTGTGTGTGTGTGTGTGTGTGTACAGTTTAAAATAGCACTTAACATGTCTATGTTATGTAACTGCTTCTCTCTTAGCTGCCACTGGCAGAGGGCTGCCCACACCCTGTACCTTGCCTGCTTTCCTTATGCTGACGATGGACTTGTCCACTGAGGTACTTTCAGACCTGCTCCCTTCCTCTCTGTAGCTGCCTTTAGAACACTTATCAAATGAGTTGCTTATTGGTGGAGGTTTAGATGGCTCTAATCCCTTGCTATTACCACAATGAACACGATTTGTAACATGGGCAAGTGTAGAATTCCAAGTGGAAGTGCTGGGTGGAAGTGTGAATTTAAAATTTGATAGTTAATACCCAACTTCCCTCCATAAACACTGCACCAATGCACACCCCTCTATTGTACAAGTGCGCCTTTTCCTACAGCCTTGCCAACAGAGCTTGATGGGTGCCAAACAGAGCCTGATGTCAGTCACGGTGCCTGAAGTCCAGCATATCTGCATGTTTCAAGTGTTCCAGTCATTTGACACCCTTCCTGGGGACTGCTCACAGCCTCCCCTCATCATTTCGCAAGGTCTTCCTCTTGCTGGTTTGGGGAAGGAGCCCTTTGTGACACGGGCTGCAAGTATTTCTCTGTTTACCCTTATATTTTTCTTCTTATTTACTTAGTTTTTAAATTTTTGCCATGAAGAAATGGCATATAATTATGTAACTGAATTGATGACTCTTGTTTTTCATGACTTTGGGGCTACAAAGCAGGCCTTCACCTTCCAAGATTATAAATATAACTCACTTTTTATCTGCTTTTGTGATTTTATTTTCTCCATTAGAATATATTTATACATAGGACTGAGATGCTTGCATCTGGAGACACGCTCAATGGGAGATTTTGACAAACCACTGTTAATACTGTGTATTACTCTTCCCCCGGTTTGCCGCCAGGATCTCAGCTTGCTTTGGAGGCACCCGATGGCCTGGAGAGGTCAGCAGCAGTCATAGAAAAATGCAAAGGGAGCAAGCACCTTTTGCCCAGAGAAGCCCAGCTATGCCCTGAGAGATTTTCCATGTGTCTTTAAGGTTACTTAGTGACGTTCTGACCGCTATGATGTTACTAGGCAATAAGTTAGTGACATCATCGGTCCATTATAATGTATGCAACCACCGTCCTATATACGGCCCCACCCAGACATCACGTGGTGCACAGCCGTACACGACAGCAGGTTTCTTTCAAGGGAGGTGATGGACCTTTATGGGAGTGAATTTTCCCAACCCAGTCGTCCCACCTGTCCTGGGCCATCTACCCATTTAGCTTTCCCTGCTGTGTGCGCCCCATCTCACCTGCCCGTTGCCCATCCCACCTGCTCGACTTCCCACCCCAAGTGCCAGTCCCCCAATTCCCCGCCCGCCCCCAGTCCCGTCTACCCGACCCCCCATTCCTCCTGCCCTCTCTCCCATCCTCCTGCCCGCACCCAGTCTCCGGCTCACCTGTAGGCCCAGGGTGACACGCTGCGCAGCGGGGTGGGCGGCCGGAAGCGGCGGTCGGGCCGGCCCCCCGGGCAGCTTGTGTTGCGCGCCTGCTCGCGCGGGCCCGGTTGCAGCGTGTGCTGGAAGGCGCCGAGCACGCCGGCCGCCAGCCGCCCATACAGCTGCTCCAGGAGCTCCTCGGGTCGGTCCGCGCAGCCCCGCGCCGGCCGCCGGCTGCTCCTCGGGGCGCCCACCCAGCCCGGCGACAGCGTCAGCGCCAGCAGCACGCCGGCCGCCAGCGTCCAGACCTGCGGGAGAGGCCGCTCAGAGGCGCGTCCGCGCCGGAGGATGGGCGCCGAGCACACCGGCCCCCGCGCACCCCGCGTTCCCGCCCCGCGCCCCGCGCGCCCCGCGCCGCCCCCACCTCGTGCTCCGCGAGCCCCACCGGGAGCCCCACCCGGATCTCGACCCCGAGCCCGCCGGGGGACCGCGTGTGGCGTGCGCGTGTGTGTTTGCCGGCCAGGCTGCTGCGCCGCGGGGTGCGAGTGCCTGTGAGCCCGTCGTCCCCGCGCCACCGCCACTTCTCTCCCACCGCCCGCGTGATCGCGGCCCGGATCCCGACTCTGCCCGGGCAGGGGTCCCAGCAGCTCCTCCTCCGCGTCCAGCGCTCAGGGGAGCCAGGGACGAACCGGGCACAGGAAACCCGTCGACTGTGGAGCGTACTCACCAGCGACCCCATGTCCCCGGAGACGCTGTTTGAGACCTTCACGCCGAGCCTTGCGCGGGGGACCGCAGGCCGCGGGACTGGGCCGGGGCTCGAGGAGGGGCCGTGGCCGGAGATGGCGCCGCCCCCGCCGCCGAAAGTGTGCCGGGCTCAGAGGGGCCAACTTTGCGAAGTCAGGGGGACAGACAGGGCTCAGGGTAAAGAGACATTTCTAGTGACTAAAGCTATCCAAGAACGGAACAGGCCACCCGGGGAAAGCGAATTCAACAGCCTGCAAGGATACTCTTCTGCAAGACGGCTTCCTCTTCTTAGATTCCACTGTTCAAAGAAATGCACTACATGATTTTAAAATTTCTTTAATAGGGCCAGCGGAAGCAGTTCCTCCTTTCCACTAAAGCCCCGGAAAATGGTCCTTCTGCTCTCTGTCATAGTGCAGCAGTCATATCAAATAAACCTGTTATCCTGTAAACAAATTAAACGAAATAAATGGTACGTGTTATACTTCAAGAATACAAAAAAAAACTTGCTCATTTGTTCATTCCACAAATTAACCCTTTATGTTTTTTAGGTGGCAGGGTCATGAATATGGTTATTTTACAGCAGTAATACTTTGAGAAAAAGATCGATACCCGCTAAAAACATTTTTGAACGTGCTTGCAGCTTTGGTGTTTGATTACCTTGTAGTCATTGGCTAAACTACATTTCAATTATGCCGTGTAGAAAAGCAACGCTTTTATATGCCTTAAATATTCTATAACTAAAGGCTTTAGGGAAGCGATTATCTACTACTAAAAATCCCACTGAAATCTCCAATTTAAGTAATTTACAGCTCTTGGTGGGTAAACTTTTTTTTGAGGTATAAAACACTTTTTTCTGATGAGTTGATAAATTATTAATGTTCTTCTGGTAAAGTGGAAATAAACATACCAATACTCAAATGTTTATTTTTTATTTGATAAAAAATGTAAGAGTCTTTTAGGAGAGAGAATATATAACATGTTTCAGAGAGAGTCAGTATGTCTCATCACATCCTTTCATGTGAGGTTATATAGTACCAGACTACTAATTCTGTATATTATTCAACAAAATGCCTGCCCCTGCCTGCTGACATGGAAACTTTTCTGTTCTTCTCCCTTCATAACCTTGAAAGTGGAAAAGAAAATATTTCCTTTCTAAGCTTTCATTTGGGAAAGATTGAAAACTACTGAAAATGCTCACATATATGGTAAAACATAAAATTTATCTTTGTGAGTCTAATCAGCTGAGAAAGTGTCTTATAAACAGGTGTGAAGTGTTTTAGTTGTCAAATTTGTGTTCAGTTTCCTCCATCTAACCATGTTTATGAATATATTATATCAGCATGTTAATTAAATCCAAATTTGAGACATATAAGCAGGAAAAAGCCAATAGAATACTCAAAACCAAGCCTGTCACGTTCCCTTAGAAAGAATCCTCTCCAGTGTTCTTGACTGAAGATGACAGCGTCCTCAGTCATGGGAACTTGACTTATCATTAGTTCTTTGCTCTCACTCTCTGGTCACTCATCCACCCCAGCACCTGGCACAGCTGTAGGACTGCTTATCATGGACTAAACTGTTGGAAAAACTTAGTCCCATAACTGCTCAAAATTTAGGCCAATGTGTGGTTGGCTACTTTCAAACTTAACTTCCTGGGTTATTGATACACGTATGCACCCAAACTTCTCTGTCCTTTGAATAACTACCAGGTTTTCCCACCATAGTTCCTGTTACTGCTGTCTTCTTGGTTAGCACCTGGACTTACCACTACTCCTATTCAGCCTTCCTGGCACTTGTAACACCTGCACAGATGATTCATTCAGACCCTGGCCTCTACATGACCAGCTAGCTGAGCGCCAGTTGTCTTCTGTCCCATCCTATCTCAGCTATCAAATCATATGGTCAGATCCCAAATACTGTCATCACCAATTACGGCACCACATCCAAACATTCCATTTCAAATACCCTGTTCCCTGACTCAGCCCCTCTCTATCCATGCCCACTCCACCACCATCACTCCCTATCATATCACTGTTTTATCTTCTTAACTGTGCTTAATCATATCTAGAACCCTTTAAAAATATACTCATTTTCTTTCTTCTGACCATAAGTTGAGCTCTTCAAGGATGGGGTCTTGTTCTGTCTAGTCACTGCTGTCTCCTCAGAGTCTTGCACATATTGATGTTAGTGCATTTGTTGGCTGCCTCCCCTGCAGGATTATAATCGATTTTGAAAGCAGGGAAGTTTTGGTTTTCTGTCTCTTGCACCTAACCATAGAGAGCACACTGTAGTGACAATTGTAGATAAGGTGGAGGGGGTTTATCATCTCTACCGAGAGGTTCACAATGAGCCACTTCTTCTGACTGCCATCATTGTGATCCCTCTACAGAATGTTGATGGGCCAGACACCCTGCTAAGGAGAAAGGCAGGCAGCCTGCCCTCCACCCCATACCTTAAGCCACTACTCAGCACTATGGCTGCAGACCACTGGGTTGAAGACACAGAGAAACTATAGGGAAGAGCAATGGGGTCATGGTTTGGTACTTTCTCTTACTATATTTTGTACTGCCTTCAAACATATTGTTTTACTAGTATCATCATCCCCCTCAGGCAAAAATTCCTAAGTTGTGGTTTCCAAACTCAAAGTAATTTAGCTTGAATAAAGATTCTGTAAGGATATGTCCTAGCACAGTATTTTTCAAGCTGCAACCGATGACAATGTAGTTTTCATTACAACACTTTTAAATGAAGTTCTAGAAAATAGCATGCTCTGCAGTAATAAAGGTAATTTTTGTGAATACACACACACATGTGTGTATGGGGGGAGGGTTACTTGGTTGTGCAATGAATTTTATTTATTACTGGGGGTCAATGTTTTCAAAAGGGTAAGGAAGTCACTGACCTAAAGGATTGGTTTCACATGTTTTTATTCCATTAAAAACAGAAGAATACTTAAACCCAACTTGAAGAACAGAATATACTTATTTAAAGCCTTTAAAGTATACAAAATTAAAGTTTGTATATTTAATCCAAGGTTTAACATTAGTATTATCTTGCAAGGCAATTTCTTCCCTTTAATAAATAACATATAATGTGCATATTATTCTGGAAGTAAATCGTCTCCTAACTCTTCATCAGCAAAATCATCCTCCTCAACTCTTTTCTTGGCCGCAGTCTTTGGTCTTTCTACTTGAGGGCCAAGTGGGTCCACATATGAGGCATCTAGGTTCAGAACAGATGGTTACATTAGAGTGATATAAAAAACAAAACAAACGTGAAACCAGTCAGTCTCGTAATGAAAACTGTACAACTCAAGAGTGAACAGAAATGCTCTCCAAGTCATTTAAATTTTTTCCATATATATGAAATTCTTAATGCCCAATTATCCATTTTTGCCATCTCACCAGTCTTCAGGCCTGGTGTGCCTGTGGGGTTGGGTTGGGAGCACGGGCACTTGCCTATTTCTTTGTGACTGCTACTTTCATAAGGCTCGTTTGTCCCAGGCAAAGCTCTGAGTCTGGCACTTAGCCGTTCACCTTTACTACTGGCACTACAGTTCTGGCCACTATCTGAAAACAGAAATAAAAATGCATTTGTTTAACATGTTGAGAAAACATAACACTCCATCATGAAGCTCGCTTATTTGCCAAGAAAGAGGCAGATTCTTTCATTTGGAAGTCAGCTTCCGAGGGATGTCATTCTCATTATCTGAAATTTAAAAGAAATCTCTTGTTGGGAATCTATAATACAGAGAAAACATCACTTAATATTCTTTCAAATGTGTGCTTAGTTATAGGTTTCAGTCTTACTGATTCACTTGTGAGAAGTTAGAGACCACTTTCACAAGTATAATCTAGCAAAGAACAAAGAGCATTGGGAGAAGGAACACATAGGAAGTGATAAAAGATCAATATGAAATGTGTCATCAACCTCATATCAAAGCAGGTGAGTGGCCATTAAACCACGTCAAATAAAAACCGGAAGCAGAGGCTGTGCAAGATCAACCCAGGTAGGAGAGAATCTCCTACCCACTTTCTTCAAACTTTTGAAGAGTGTTCATATAGAAGAACATTAGATTTTTCTCTGTGTAGTACAACTGATTTTGGTTCAACATAAGGAAAAACTTGAAAAGGATGACAGTGTCTGAATATGGAATGGCTGCCATGAAAAATAATACAATTCACATCATTGAAGATTTTCTTATAGGGTTGAACACTCACATTATTAAGAGATATTAGTAGTTTTTTAACTCTAAATCTCTATTATTATGTATTCTAAAAGAACCACTCTTCCAGTCCCAAAGTTTTTATTTTTTTCCCTTTAAAATTCCCACATTGCTATTTTTTTTCTGTTATGAAAGCTGCACTTTCAATGAGAGTAGTTCATAGATATGCACTGATCATTTCTCAGTATACTTCTATTTTAGTTTATTGACAATACAAGGGACAGAAATCAAAACAAGATGGTCTTTAAAATCCCCACATTTTAAGGTTGGCAAACTGAACCAAAATTATCAGTCCTCCCTAGGTTCTTATCAAAGACAACCATTTCCCTGCATTGTTGATATTATTGAAAATAAAATGCTTTAGCTTAATGCACTAAGTGTGCCCACATATTTTATGTTTTTGTGGGGTTTTTTTTTTGTTATATTGTTCCTCTGTAATTTTTTCTATACAATTTTTTTCATCTACAAGTGCAAATTGGTATCTTTTAAAATGTCTGAGTGAGCTCAGGTCCAGAAAGTTTGGAAATTATTGCTCTAGACATTGCTTTTACTTCATTTTCACACAGATATAATTTATCTATCTAAACATCTTTTGTATAACAAAGCCCCAACATCTCTCTCAGGCATACAAAGCCCTTCTGAAATCCTAATGTGTAATTCCCAGCCTAAAGGATTACGGTCCTGCAGAAAAAGCAAACCTTTAAAAATGAAAACTGATCTCATAAAACTTTAATTGTCCAGTTGAAACATCATAAATACAATTTTAAAATATTTTCTATTTTGAAAACCACTGAGGGTATATTGTGAATATCCTCATTTGATAATTTTCAGTAAACTTGCATGGAGTAACACTGCCATACATGGACAGGTGAAAATGGAGCAATATGCAATTGTAAGTCAAGGTGAGTTTTATGCCCACATAATAAAACAAGCTATTATAATCTTTTAACTATAGCAGCAAACAATAATTACTATTTCCTAGAGGGAAGTTAAATAACAAATAAGTTCAGAAAATTGAACTGAGACATGAATTATTCTGAATTATCAATCAACACAAACTTCCAAATGATACTTTTGTATGAGGAAAAAAAACGTTAAAATCAGAGAATTTAGAGTAAGAGGGCATCGTGAAAATTACCTACACCAGTAAAAAAGAATCTCTCTATAAAATGGACAATATATACAAAGAAATAATTCCTAAAATAAACATTACAAATGGACAATAAACATATAAAAATGGTTAAACTTACTTAACCTTAGAACCTCTTAACTTTAAAAAGCAATCCAGAACACTATATTGAAAAGATATCTTTTTAGAAAGCTTAAACACAAGCAAAATTAAATATATTATTTGCATATATGGTAAAATTATATATGAAAAATGTAAACCTGAATATATATAAAATAGAAAACTCACAGTAGTTATGCGTGAGAGAGGCAGGAGACAGAATGAGAAAAAGCTGATAGGTAGACATAACTAATTTTCTGGTTATAATATTTTATGATGGCTTCATTAATTTTAATCTTATTAACATGCTCGATAACAATGCTAGATTCTTTTGTAGGTATCAGACATTGAATAATTTTAAATTCACATAACTCTAAATGTAGGATTCATTATCACCTATTAAAATGGCCAAAATTAAAAAAATATAAGAATAGCAAGTGAAATGAACAAATTTTCTGAAATTAATTTAGTCGTATATATCAAAAGACTTAAAATTCTTCAGTCAGCAGGAGAGCAGAATAGGAAGCCCTAGACCATGCTCTCTTACAAAGACACTGACTTAACACCAACATATGGTCCAAAAAGCCTTTATGAGAATTCTAGAAACCAATTAGGAAGCCCAAAGGCAAGAACATATTTATTTATTTATTTATTTTTAATTTATATTTTTTGTTCAAATACATTTGTCTACAGCTTCCCACCACCACTTTCTCCTGCCCTCCTCCCCCACCTCCCTCCCTCAATCCTTCCCCACTTTGGCTTTGTCCATGAGTCCTTGATATATGGGCCTGGTTAGTACTTGGATGGGAGAACAACTTCATTTAAATGTGTAAGAAAAGACATTTTATTTCGATTGTGTCAGCCACTACACACAAGCCAACATGACTCACAATTGGGAGAGAAAGCCCAACTTCCAGGTTCTTCCTTGGGAGGAAAGACAAGAATAGAATATATACCCAACATTTGGGTTTTTCAGGAAACTGCCTGAGACCTTGTTTCTGTCTTGCCTGACTTGGAGTGTTCATGAGGAACCAGCATATTCCTGATGCCCAAGAGCTGCTGAGAATACGAGAGAGCTCATTGACTTGAGCTCAAAGCACTTCCCCTACTACAGACAAAAGCTGGCACAACTTGTGATCAGGAGAATGTGTCCAGCTTACCACTTCTTCCTCAGCAGGGAAAGATTGGAGTGAAATGGACATCCAACATTCCAGCTCTGTTGGGGCTGCCTGAGGATCTGGCTGACTCAGAGCACTAATGGGGAATCGGTGTGTTTTGGGGGACTGCAGAGAACAATGAGGGTCCAGGCACTTGTTGCAGTGCCAAAGATCCTGCAGTACACCAGAGGAAGCAAAGATTTAAAATCATGAAAAAGAAACAACCAAAATCTCTCTAACTCGGAAGTTGCACATAGAGGCAGAGAGAAGATGCAGCCCATATAAATTCTGAGAAATTTTCATAATTTCTAGCAGGGCTGACGGGTGAAGGTCTTGTTCTGTAGAATGCCAGTACACAAAGACTGGGAGAAATAGCTGTTTTTTTCAAATAAAGAAAATACAACAAAAGGTAATACAACACACAAACAAACAAAATAACATGACCCAAAGTAATAAATCTACAGTAGGTGACATTAAAGAAATGGAGATCTATTAATTACCTAACAGAGAATTCAAAATAATTATCCTAAATAAACTCAGTGTGCCACAAGAGAATATAGACAATAAATAAAATTAGAAAAATGAAGCATGAACCAAACAAGACTATTAACAAAGAGAGAGAAACTATGAAAAAGAACCAAATAGAAATCCTGGAGTTGAGGATTACATAATAGACTAACTGAATTGGAAAAAAAAAAACACTAGAGGACTTCAAAACAGACATAATCATACAAAATAAAGACTCTGAATCAAGATGGCGGAGGATTGAGTGGAAGTCACACTGACCTCCTTCCTGGAACAATCTGGAATTATAACTAAATTGAGGAGAAATCACCTGGAACGACCAACCAAACAATAGTGAGAGAGGAGCCTTATAACCTTGGACAGACAGAAGAATCAGCTTTAGCACAACCTAACTGGTGAGTATTGCGGTAGAGACTCAAGAAGGCAGGCAGGGCGCCCATGGGCAGCAGCACAAGAAGGATATTGAAATGGCCAGTTGGATCCTCCTGAGAGGAATGGGATCTAAACCATAAGTGGGGATCCCCAGCCTACAGCACCAGAGCCCAAAAAGTACACAGATAAGAGCCAGCTGTGAAAAGCAGCAGGATTGCTCTCTGTCAGAGATGGGTGGCTGGAGATGCAAGGAGCCTTTTAGAGGGGCAACACATAAATTTTTATTTGAAGCCACTTACGCTGGTCTCCAGCAAAGACAAGGGCAGAATGGGCTAGAGACACCTGAGGAGAGACTGGGGAAGGAGGCTTTGGGGAGAGAACTGAGAGAGTAGCTGGTGGGATACCCATGCTGATTCATCCCCTATATGGCAGAAATCATCTTGCTTAGGCAGGCCACTTCCCCTGAGTGGCATCAGCGTGAGAGGACACAGTAGCCCCACCTCCAGGAGGGAATTGGCCCTGGCCTGGTAGTGCTAAAGCCTGACTGCTGAGTACAGAGTGGCAGCCACAAATAGTAGATCCCTGGCTAAAGGAGGGCACAGAGTGGTCTGGAGACACTTGAAGACAGACTGAAAATGGAGGTTTTGGGGAGAGAATGGAGAGAGTAGCTGGAGGGATGCTGGTGCTGACTCCTTCCCCAAATGGCAGCAACCAT